CGTGTTCTTCCTCAATTGCGAACGTACAAGGCGCTGTATTCACACAGTTCTTACATCCTATCCTTCGAGACACGACTATACATTAGAAAATGAAAGAGAGAGAACACAAAAGCTTGATACGTACCGATGCATGAAACCTCGTCCACAAACACTCGATCCTTGGTACACGTAACACTCAAGAAAGGGTTCTTTGAAGTCAGGGCGTAGCCATTTATCTCGTCATACACCATCCTCTGCTCCGGATCACTCAGCACCTATCACACACCAATTCTTTTCATTGTGAGCTGAGAAAGAACACACACAAAAAAAAAGAACGTTTTTACCTCGTACACTTCATTCACAAACATACAAAAATTTGTAGCTCCAGAGTCATCTCCAATCAAATCGGGATGGCATTCTTTCATACAGGAGTAGTAAGCCTTTCTAATGTCCTCGGACGTAGCATCGGGCTCCTAGAAAAGAATGAACAAATGAAAGCAAGGAACTGAAAACATAAAAAGGAACAACAAAGAACCATACCAATCCTAGAACCGAGTAGTAGTCCTCTTCAGGCGCCTCGGTCCCAATGGAAGAGCTATCGTCCACTGTTGCTCTTGCTGCCACCGAACGACTATAATTTCTATAAGATCGGAGCTTCCTTTCAAATACCGAGGAAGAACATTCTCTAACAGCTCTCCCTAAATCTCGTCCAATTACACTATTCGAATGATCTACAGCAAGAATTGTCTTTCTCCTTGGATCTAGCGCCGACACGCAGCGATTGACAGCCGCGGCAGCCATTTCTTTGATCGGTCTAGCTGCTATAGCGCATAGAAAATGAATCTCTAGAGCTTGCCTGGCGCCATGGCCTCGTCTTACCTAGCCTAGAAATATTCTCGCAACGAGAACGAAATTTTTGTGTGCGTGGAGAGCACACTCAAAGTATCTCCACGCACGCGTCGCCACGTGGACGTAAGCCACGTGTCAGATACGTGGATTTATCTAGGGCACAGCATTTGGTATATTCTTGGGACACGTCACGGAGTTTAAAAACTTTGCCAATGCGGATATAGTGGCCATGGCGGCAATGGCTTGTATTTCCCTCGCCACTCTCCCCAGGTCTTCTAAGGCTAGGGTTTTCGCGGCGGCAGGAAGAGGAGGATCGATCGCCTCGGCATCCACAGCTACATGCGGTAGGCGGCAGGCACTAGCGCTGCTAGCGCTTGCGTCGTCCACGGCATTTGGATCGAATTCGAAGGCGGCATTCTCTCTCGATTCCCCGGTGGCGGCAGCGGCGGAAGAGGGATCCTCGCCGTTTGAGACGTATTACGGCACAGCCGCGAGCGCGTCCAGCTATGGCGGCTATGGCGGGAATGCGAGCAAGAAGGACTCGGCCGAGTATATCTTCGAGGTGCCCCAGGGATGGAAGGAGCGCCTCATCTCCAAGGTCGAGAAGGGCACGAATGGGACCGACTCGGAGTTTTACAACCCACGCAGGAAAGGTGAGAAGACTTACCTCACATACTTGGCAGGATTTCGCAAGCTCGCCAACCGAGACAACGTCCTCAACGATCTCTCCCTCTCGGACGTGAGCTTGCAAGACGATATCTCCCAGGCCGATAGCATCAAGGCCTCGGACAAGCAAAACGATTCCGGCCAGCTCTACTACGAGTATGAGATCCAGGGGCCGGTGGCTCACAGCCTCATCTTCGTTACGTGCGCCAAGAACAAGCTCTACGCCCACTACGTGAGAGCTCCCACGCAGGACTGGACGAGAGACGAGCCCATGCTAAGGCACGTTCATGAATCCTTCATGACTGTGGGAGCGTGAAAGGTTACCAGGTGTGGTTTTCATGGTTTTTTCAGAAAGTTTGATTTTCCTTATGCAAGTGGTTTTGATCCACGATCATACGGCTCTTGTCATTGTATAGTTATGGTTTTACATACAGTTAGAAGTTGTTCTTACGCCCACTTCCTATTCACAAGACAAAAAGTTCGCCAGGATGAAGAAAAAGTCGCTCAAGCTACAGGAGGCCTCAAGAGAGAATCCTCCGTCGAAGTGGACGACGAAGGCATCCATTGCCACATCCCGCCTGCCGGGAAGGCCGACACCGTCTCGAGCTTGAGCTTTTCGGAGGGTGGAAGCGAGTGGTTTTGAGCAGCCAGTGCCGCGGCCGCGGCCGCTGCTTGGTACGCGGGATGAGGGACGAAGGAGACCGAGAACGTCTTTAGCTGCTCTTCGAGCCTCTCCTTCTCGGCTTTTAGTCTGAGCTTCTCGTCCCGGAGTTCGTTCTTCTCAATCTGCGGAAGCGAGCGAGAGTAATTGCTTTGCTTTGCTCTGCTGTGTCGCACTAACGAACCTTTAAGTCTTTAACAGCTTCACGGAGCTTGTCGTTGGATTCCTTGAGCTGCTGGGCCTCTTGTCGCAGCTGCAGCAAAACGCATGCCGCTTCGATGAGGATGGCGGATTTGTCGGACTTGAGAGGCCTTCCCGGTTCCAGTGCGCCGCTCAATTCCAGAAACCTGTCAAGAGTACAACTTTTCAACACAGGAGTCCCGTGGAAACAGTGAGGCAACTCACTTATCATTGAGCTTATCCCGTCTCATCTTCTCTCGGACAGCCTTGGAGGACGTTGCATCGTCCCGCGGCCTGCAAAATCGAACGAAGAACAAGCAAAACTTGTCAACCAAACTTCAAACTCAGGGACTCGGAAGAAATGAGAATAAGATCGTCGCGACGGGCGAAGCAGAGCTACAAGACTAAAGAAAAAGTCGACCTTTTGCGAGGCGATTTGTCAAGCTTTAGAGACTCGGCTCTGCAAGAGACGCGATTGTGATGAATCCGAGGTGAAAATGAAAGTTGGAGTTACCTGAAACAAGAACCATGTTGCAATTGGACCTGTTCTTGCTGCTCCGAAGAGAGAACAAGAATCGGCTGCGGCTTGGTGAGCTCCTCCAACAAACTTTCGTCCAGGAAAGCTAGCCACTGCCTGCTCTGTGCCGAGAAGCAAGAATAAGCCATTTAATTCTCCACCTTGATCGGCTCCGGGAAGAAAAAAAATCGATTGTTGAGACTCCCTCTTCCAGCCCCAACCTGTTCACAAATTTCCTTCTTTGTTTCTCTGTGTCCCTGTGTGTTCTTCAGCCCTCACCGGGCTTGCCTCCTCGTAGACACAAATGGCCCACAAATACAGTGTTTACACCACCAAACTTGGTGATGCTGGCTTTACCACCCTTGGCCTTCACCTTTGTTTTGGCGGCAAGGGGAAAAGCTTACCGCTAGCATCATCGTCGTTGCTAGCTATCCCTCTCAATCATTCAACTCCGCATTGGAAACAGTATCATATAGCTGCAAACTCGAAGAAAAACGAACTCGTTAAAACAAGGAGTGGCCCAGCTTTTGAGAGCACCTGTTTGTCGTCGTAGAGGGCCACTTGAGCTAACTTGTCGGTATCGACCAAGCGCTTGTGTCGGCCTCAAACCTCGCCATCAATCTCGAGCTAAAAGAAAAATCGGCAAGATATAAGAAGGGAAAAGATAACACGAGCCTTGAAGATTCTTAACTATGGCATTTCAACGCGCTTAGGTGGAATAAACATACAACAAAAAACACACTGCATTCAACGCAGTAACAAGGGATTAGTTTACGAGACGAGATAAAACCTTTACCTTGGAATCGGAACAGAGCTCCCAAGTTCATGAAGTATCATGAATGAGAGCAATGTGTTTCGCTTTTGATGTCAGAGGACTAAACTCGAACCAGCCAAGCTGCCACCACTCAACAACATGCAACCGAATGTGACTTTTGTCTGTTTGAGCAACTTGCTAAGCGGGCCACCTGGAAAACTGGATAAGTACGCGATTTTAAGCTATCAGATCTTGTATAAGAACAAAGAATACCTGGCCCACGCTGCTATCGTATGCTTGGGCCACCTTCGCAAATTATTCTTCCGGCGCTTCTAAAATCCTCCCCCTCCCAGGAAGGATGCATCTGAAGGCTGAGTGGCGCGTTGAAATATCTGCCGGTTAAAGATTTCCATGCTTCTTGCAGAAGTCAGAAGCTAGGCGAGACGTCTGAAAACAATACCAAAATCATTCAGCGTGCACACGTTGCAAAGAGAAAAAGAATAAGAATTCCAGTACTGACCAGGTCAGAGATCCGAGCAGCTACTTCATATCCTTCGCAAGTGTCATCAAAGCTTCGGTCACAACCACGTCGAAAGAGGCTACCATGCGGGAAATCGTCTCGCAGAGGTAGAAAAGAGAGCTCTCTCTCAGCCTTTCAGGGTCGAAGCTTTCCCTCTTCTGCCTCTGCTGCTGTTGCTGTGCTTCCAGGTAGCGTTTCAGTGCAAAGTGCGATATGTTCCACGTAGCAAAAGACTGTGGCACTCGCATGAGTTGGAGCACCAAGCTGGCAGCAGCTCCATAGTGACGTCCTCTCGTCATCTCCGAGACGAAGTATGGCACGATGACGTTCAGAGATGGAGCTCCAAGGCTGTCTTCGGGTAACAGTATTCCTGCCTGAGACTTGTGAAGGAGCTCCGCAAAACCTTTCGAGAGAGCCGAGAAAAGACCGGTTAAGTTTGAAGCACTAGCGATGGTTGGAAGAAGTCGTGCCGAAAGAAGTAAAACCATAGCTGCTTTGTCCAGAACCGCACCCTGACTCTGTAACTCAGCCTCAACACGATCCATATAAGTGCTCCTCAGAGATTCATAGGGGAGCAAGAGTGCAAACTTCAGCCCCAACAGTGGATTCTCTTGTGCTGCACAGTGGACAAATTCCTCGGCTTCGTCCTTGTTGAGTAGAGCGGATGAGCTCGTAGACCACCTATCCAGCACGCTCAGAGCTGCTTCAAGGCCTCGGTACTGGATCAGCTTCTGGCAGGCTATCTTCCAAAGTGATTGTAGCTTGGGAGCTTCTACCGTCTCAGCAACGTCAAAATCTTGCCACCCGTCGCCCCAGCCATCCTCACCACCCTTGTCTTCAGCTCGTTGCAAGTCGTCTTCATTGTCTTCCTTGGTCTCAAAGACAGTTTCCCACTCCTCAAGCAGTAGCTTTAGAGCCGCGGCTTGTTTCTTCGTCGAAGTATTCTCGGCTAGCCTCGAAAAACAGTGCCATGCATCCTCTACGCTCGCCAGGTCAGCTTCTGTAACTTCACCGTCTGCAAACTCCTGAGCAACTATGTCCCTGGACCTCCGGGCGGCAACGGCTAGTTTACTTTCAGTAGGCTCCAACGAGCTTATATTCGTAGGCGTCTCGTCCAGCTCGGTTAAAGGCTCATCGTCCTGCAAAACAACCTTGATATCAAAACACCAAGGAACCAAAAGCAACTAACAGACCTTTGGCGTCGTAACATCGTCTTGGAGAAAATCGTCTGGTGCGCCTACTTCCTCCTTTTCTGATCCCTCAGTGGAGGCAGATCCCTCTGTGGAGGCAGAGTCAGACACCTCTAGAAGTGTCACTGGTAAATACTCATCTACCAAGTCGAACTCCTTCCACGCAGACAGTAGCTCTCCAATAGACTCGCCGTCGCAATGGCGGAGTGAAAAGCTGATGAGCTCCTTCCGGGACTTAATATCTAGTCTCTCCGCATCGGGACCCCGTCCAATAGCTGCGCAAAGGTCCCAGACTTTGCCATGGTCTTTCCTTGCCAGGCTAAGGCACAGCTCTTGAGCCACAGCAACATCCCCGTGAGCGGCTGCTTCTCGAGCAAGTGCTTCCTCGACAAAGGCCATCTGACTGGTATCTTTGTAACCAAGCAGTCTCGCCACCTCGAACACTTCCTCGAGCGGAACGTGAGACTCCTTGTGAGACTCAATAGCCATTTTCAGAACTTCCATCGGATCCTTGATCTGACGAAACTGCGCTGGCAGCATCGTCACACCCAGATATGGTAGCCTTTCGGTGACGGCTACAATGATATCACGTTCAGCTATCCCAGACCCGGAATCTGGTATGAGGCTTAAACAGTCCTTAGCCCTGTCAATCTGCAAGAGACACGAACTTCAGCATCAAATACAGCTTCAAGGCGAAAGACTTACGTCTGGAGAATCCAGAGTGTTTGCAGAGTAGAAGAACTCTCGACTCGTTTGCAGCACGAGGCTTTCGATCTTTTCCTCGCTGAGAAGAGCAACTCCAGGATCCTTAAAATATGATTTTGCCAGGTGAAATCTTCCAGCTTTTAGAAGGCCCCGGCAAAACTCAGAAAGTAAATAGTCCTTCTCAAGAAATGTGAAGGCTTTTTCCTGAAGAACCTGTAAGTCCCGCCATAGTGCATTCCATTCCCCGTCTGATCGGCCTGGATGCTTCCGCAAAAACTTTGACAATAATATACGAAGCATCTGTTTGGTTCCTTTCACATCCTCATTGGATGAAGCCAAGAATCCTATTTTCGTTGGAAGCTGCCAACAGCACTAGTAAGTTAGCGAACATATAATAGAGCTCGAAACATACCTGATAGCGAAACAAAATCTTTCCAGCCTGTATGTGTCCTTCGGCTGTCCTCAACCGTCTCTCAAGTTCACCGCTGATTGCAGGATACCTTTTCGTCGGGCTCACGTTGAAAGGTGCATCCATCGATGTGTCTGTTAATGTTCTGTTAGGATATCGCAGTGCATTCACAAAACCTCTCCGTAAACCCCTTTCGCCATAAGTATCACTGGCCTTCTGCTGCTGCTTGTCATCTTCCCACGGTAACCTTGAAAGAATAGAGGCCATGAGCTCCCACTCATCTGTCTGCGAAGAGCTATAGATGCAGTCCAGACCCGCAGCAATTATCTCCGCTTCGTCCTTGAACAGCACACCTTTGTATGGTGGCTTGCACGAATCCTCCAAGACAACCGCACAAAGCTGCAAGTTCGCTGACGCAACCTCCTTGAGATATCGAACGAGAAAGCTCTGCTGCGTCTCTCCTTGCTCAGCCAGCCCTTGTACGAAAGGAACTGCAACCTCCATCAGCCTGTCCACAACGTTGTCCTCGGTCACGCCCCTCAGCATCATCTTAAACTTGTCAAACGCATCCAGAGCTTCCCACGCTGCCAGTGCCAAGCTCGCGTCGTCCTCTTTGCACTCGGCATTCGAGAAGGACACCCTGCAAAGGTCCGCAACGTCCTTCCACAGATCGTTCAATCCGCTGACGCCCTTTTGTATCCCAGCATCCAGAAGAAACAAGCTGTTCTCGAGCTGACCACTCAGCTGGTCTATTCTTCTCGCTCGCTGCAGATACCACGAAGTTATCTCTTCCGCCGCAGGCCACCTTAAACCTCTGGACAAGTTCACCATAAACTCGGTACACTCGTGAAGATCAACCTCGCCGGAAACTCCAGCATCTGCCAGCCTCACCACAGCTTCGCTTTCAATCCAGTCTTGGCCCCGACGAGGAAGTAAGACTTGAGGTGGTGACAACCTCGGAAGAAGCTGCTCGTAAGTGTGAGGTGAAAGCGTCTCTGGAATCCCGTCCAAAATGCTCAAGACGTGAGGAGCTAGAGCATAGCCGTGACGCTTCATTAGCAGCTCGAGAGCACCCGTCTTCCCGTGCTCGGCGAAGGTAGACGCAAGTCTGTGCAAGCTGGTCGATCGAAAGATCATGTACTTTTGAGGATCATACCTGGGAAGTATAGCACTACATTGAGAAAACGAGAAAGAAAAAGGAAACGAAAGAGCAAGACTAACCTCCCCATATGAATCCCCAGGTATGTGTCGAGGCGATCCTTGAATTGGAGCAAACGCAATCTCCCGAGAAGAAAGAATCTCCTCTCGTCGTCGCCTCCTCCAGCCTGATCCCTGAATTTCTCCGTCTCCGCCAGGCCGTAAGCTAGCAGCGCCGCCATGGCTTCGGAGGTAGAGCACAGCCTCCGCAAGCACTCGCTCACGACCCATCGCCTGTCCCGGACGAATTCCAGGTTCTCCTGGATCGCGTTGGCCCCGAAATCCGACTTTTTCCAGCGATCCCTGTAGAAATCCTGCGATGCATTTCCAGCGCCGCCAAGCGCCGATTGCCGCCCCATGGATCGATGGATCCGCGCGTATTACATCTCTACGCTCACCTTCCTCGATTCCAAAAACCCTGTTGTTTTAGGGCTCTTGGGGCAACCCATAACTTTCATACGTAATATCCCTGTCCTGTGCTCTAACGGAGCTCCAGGAAGCACGAGAGCTTGCCGGACGAAACTCGAGCAAGGCTGATCGATTGGAGCTCCTCAAGCAAATACCGGGATTGAATCTATCGCCAGAAAGGGAAATGTGTCTCTGGAGTAGGAGTTTCAAAACAAAATCTCGCGGGGAAGTTGATGGAGAGTTCTAGCAACAGCTTTTTTGGCCCGAAAGGAGTAAAAGAGAACAAATGGGAAGCTTTCGCTCACCACGCTAGCATTGACAGCGTTGATCGGATGGCGGAGGATATAGTATCCATCAAGAATTTGACTGGAAAAAAAGGCTTCCCTCGACCTCGAAGCTTGGTGCTTGGAACAATTTCTTCACCAGCACTATTTAGGCCGCCAAATACACTTTTGGAGGTCCAAAAGCGTTGGAGTGTGGTGACGAGCTTTACACCCTTAGTAAATTAGTGCATTCTCTTTTACTTGTTTCTCAGATGAATGAGAAGTCCACTTTAAGAAAATTGAGAACCTCGATTGTTGCTTTGTTATGAATAACACGCTCAACATGTCTAACAACGCAACGTTTACGAGTCTGGCATCTAATCTGGACCAAACTCATTCCTCGAGTCAAAGTTTTCGTAAGACTCCATGGCTTATAGTTTGGCTTATAGTCTTGTTGTCTATCAGATCGAAGCGTGAATGAGCTTCCCAACAACGAAGCGTTTACGAGTCTTAATCTGGACCAATCCCATTCCTCGAGTCAAAGTTTTCGTGGCTTATAGTTCGTACGCAAGTAAACATCGCGGGTCTTGTTGGCACACGCCCAGAACACTTTGGAGGAGCTCCAAGATAATGAACTTGGACAATGATTCCCATTTTTCGATGATGGAAGAACGCCGGGCGTCAGAATATAGATCAACCCAAGCGTCTTTGTAAAAGCACGAAAAAAAGGGATCGTAGGGATCTTTAACTGTGTCAAAAGCTAGGAAGCAAATTCTTGCAAGAAAGCATGAAGCAGGACTGGACGCAATGCAGTGATACGACACGCAAATGCGATCAGAGAGCAATCGTTCATTTTGTAGAAATGATCTTGGGACTCCTCTTATTTTAGGGTTCCTGTGGAGAAGGGCGATGGCGACCACGCTGGCCAAGAGGCCCAAGCTGTCGGGGCTGGACGAGTCGCCAGGCGCTCCAAGCGCGGCGCCATTCTCATCGCCCTACTCGCCCATCTCGCTCACATTCACCCTCAACGTTATTTCCTGTGGCTTCTGCAAGGAGGTTCTCGTCAGCTGCATTTACCAGGTATCTCGTTCTCTTCTTGTGATCTTGTTAGTTTAAGATTGTGAGATCTTATGACTGTGTTCTATTTGCATAACTCTTTCGTTTTGGCTTGCGAGAATCTATTAACTGCTTGCGAGATCTTTGGCTATTACTGTTACTCATATCTATGCTTCGGGCTTGCTAGATCTTTGTTTTGTGTTCTATTCTTGCAACTCATAGCATTATCTTCGATTGAATTGCTCGTTTCCAGTGCCGGAACCATCACCTCGTCTGCGCGCATTGCCGCAACACCGAGCGGAGGTGGTGCTCATGCCCCGGCACCGTCGAGAGCTTCCGGAACGAGGCGCTGGAGCGGCTGGTTGGCTGCTTCTCCGTGCTGTGCTCCAACTCGTCCTTTGGCTGCCCGGACGCGTTCCCAATCTACGCGCGGCGAGCTCACGAGACCAAGTGCTCCTTCGCCCCCCGGAGGTGCGCGAGCTGCAGCTTCACCGGCGCGGCGTCGCAGTTTAGCGCCCACTTCAGCGACCACCACCGCTGGAACATCATCGAAGTCCCGGACTACAACGTCGAGTTCGGCATGGCGCTCAAGGCCAGCGAGGCGAGGATCATCCCCGTCCGGATTGGATCGTCCGAGGCGATGTTCCTCATCCACTTCGAGCAGCAGGGATCCTCCGGCCGCCTCTATCCGTCCGAGGTTGCTCGCCACCAGGAGAACGTCAAGGTGAGCATCTCGGTTTTCAAGGGCGGGGAGGTGGAGCTGTGGATGAAGTGCGTGCCAAAGAGCATGGCCAAGGCGGAAGCAGGGCCGTATTTGTGCGTTCCAGACTACTGCCATCTTCCTGATGGACGCATACGGACCGAGATTTGCATCAAGCGCGGCTAGAACAGCGCTAGCTACTCGGTAAGCTTTGAAAAGTTTTTCTTTTTTTCTGTTCTTCCAGATGATTGTAGTTTCTTTCTCGTCGATTTCTTCTTGTCGAGATGACTAACAGCTTCTTCACGTCATGCAGAGATTTCCGCTTTGGTTTTTTTTTTTTTTTTTTGGCTCATACCCGGAAGATCAGCGTAGACTTTTCATTTGTAGCACATGTAAATAGACTTGTGAGACGTGGTGCTCGCAATACGCGTGAAAGAACGCTTCTCAGCGTTTTTTCGTTGTCGTTTCGTAGAAGCTTTTCTTCGTCAAACAAGAGATCTCCAAACAGTTGCTCTCCGAGAATGAGCTCGAGAAAGAGTAAAAGGTTTTCTCCGCGAAATTGAGAGGAGAGAAACTCTTTCTTTCATGGCCAACGGAAGCATCTACGACAATAACTCCCATCACACCGTGAGGAACGTCCATGGAATCGTGTGCGCGCTCTCGTGGGGGATCTTGATCCCGCTGGTGATCCGCTGGTATGGATTCGTGACGCGCCTCCAGGTCCAGGGCAGGCACCTCAAGCTCTTCTACGCCGTGAGGATCATCGCCTACACGCTGGGCTTTGGCGGCACGATCGTCGGCCTGTGGCTCGCCGGCGACGCGGGAGAGATTGGAAACAAGGCGCACTTCAGCATCGCGATCGCGCTGCTGGTGCTGGGAGGGATAGGGGCGACCGGATTCCAGTGCTACTGCTGCTGCCCGGTGGATGGAGTGGCGTGGGCGGTGATGATCATGGGGATCGTCAATGTTTTCAAGGGATTCGACATGCTGGATCCTCCCCGCGGCTATAGGATTGCGTACACCGTTGTGCTATCGCTGGGATGCGTTGCTGGGGTCGCCGCGGAGATTCTCATGTGTGTGCTGCGTCCCCTCCAGAGTGGCTACATTCACCGCCAGGAGAGCGCTACGTTCACCACATCCTACGGAGTCTAGAGAAGGAATTAGCGAGTTCTTGGAGGAATTGAGCGATTCCAATCCAATTCCCCTGTTCTTGAAGAAATTGAAGAAATTCCATTGCTCTGTTTCGCAAAAGCCCAGTGTGATCAAGGATAGAATTCATCCTCGGCCTATGTAGCCAATTCCTAGAGCGAGATCCACTCTGTTTTCTTGAAGAAATTCCATTGCTCTGTCTCGCAAGATCAAAGCTAGAAATCATCCTCGGCCTATATAGCCAGAGCGAGATCCACTCTGTTTTCTTGAAGAAATTGAAGAAATTCATTGCTCTGCCTCGCAAGATCAAAGCTAGAAATCATCCTCGGCCTGTACATGCCTCCTAAACGTAAAGAAACAGAGCACCCCTCCCTGGAAGCAGCAGTAGAGGCAGCACATCGAGCAGCCCACAATGGCGATGAGCGTGGCGATGATCGAAACGTAGGCGATCCGCCACACGCGGTGAGGCCGGAGGATCCCGAATCCACCAAACACATCGGTGATGGCGAGAACCATGACGATGAGGCCAAAGATTTCGATGCCCCACACCCGATGTTTGACTCCCACCAGGTGGAGAAATGCCATCGCCAGCAGCGCGATCGCGATGCCGAAGTGGGCTTTGTGGTTGGCGATGCCGCCGTGAGAGATCGCGCTCGCCCAGAACCCGATCGCCGTCGCGGCCGCGGCGATGGCGTAGAGCGCCGCCTTGAGAAGGATGTGAGATCGCGGCAGGGGACTGGGCAGGAAATTCTCCCTGTAGACGAGCATTGGGACGAGGATCCCCCATGAAATCGCGCAAGCCAGGGCGTGGCCGGACCTCAGTAGCGACTCATCGTTGTGGGAATCTGGAAATGGAGCTGGAGCTGGAGCCGCCATCCGTGTTCTTCCACCGTGTGCTTCCACCGTGTTAAAACCTTATAGAATATTCCAGGCTTAAAAAGCTAACGAATTAATCAAACAAACATTATTAAATTCCCATTTCAAGTGAGTACAATCAACTTGCTGGAGTAGCTCAGTTGGTCAGAGCGTGTGGCTGTTAACCACAAGGTCGGAGGTTCGAGCCCTCCTTCTAGCGGAAAAATGAATCTTATTTATCAAAATTCAGTATTTTATTTTTAACTAATATCTTATGATTATGATAAAGTAACAACTTTTAAAGTGAAGTGTCAGTGTATAAGATCCCTGAATCCCTAGCAATGCCATAATATCCCATTCAAGGAGAAGAAAGGGCCTTCTCCCAACTCGGAAAAGCCCAGACTGTGTTTGCATGTTCGTTTTGTCACCTTATAGACAGGCGACCCATGATTTGCTGGCTCTTTGCTCGCAGCCCTTGTCGGTAACTCGGTCAAACTCCCCACCACTCACTCAATCCATGGATTCGATCGATCCAACCCCTCCAGCCATAGAAAACAAGCTAAAGAACAAAACTTTGGCCAGGATGAAATCAAACTCTCTCCCAATCTCGTGTGTTCAATGCAATCGCTCCACCCATTGGCCGAGTTAATGGTAATATAATCCCAATGTGGGGGGCTCTTATGATAAGCGTGGCGGGCGCGCGATTCTTTCTCCAAATGGTTTTTATAAACATCGTCACACGATCTGGGGCGTGGCGTCCCAAAAGTATAGCAAAATTTAAACGCAAATATCCCCAATACAATCCAAAGCGCTGCGCTGTGATGGAAAAATGAGCGTTACACAACAGCGCCACATGCATGTGGAGGAATATCCACCGACCAAGTGGGCGCTGCAGCGCATCCGCACCGTCAGATTTGGCGGGAAATTGTTTTTCGTCCATGGCTATGGAGGAACAGAAAACAAAAGGGGGGTATCGTCACCCGCTGGGTCAGTACGTATACGGATAAGGCATAAATCAATCAAGTTGCCATTCACGTACAATACCATGGGACCTCTACGATACGGCCTTAAGCGCCCTAAAAGAGGACACGTTTGTACGGTGTTCTTGGCTCCCTCTCACCTCAGCTAGCGGCTTGAATGCCGGCACACAGGCGCCAGCTCCATCCCGATGGCGCTGCCCTTGATCGAGCGATATTACGAGGTATTGGCTTGTGATCTCTTCGAATCGGTGTGCGAGGCCATGGATTTCCAGAGGTTTTCAGGGACCGTCGGCGTTGCAAATCCACATTTCCGCGGAGCTGTGGATTTCGCTATCGCGCTCGTGAAATGTGAGTGATCGATGCCGTGCTTCTCGAAGGCGGGGTAGATCGGCGCTGCGCGCACGGTAGTTCTGGGATCCTGGCAGGGCTCTGCGCCAGGGGAAGTGAATCTTCGTTGGGATATCGGAGCCAGAGGCAAGTACCGGGGACACTCTCGATTTTCCTGCTCTCCTCTTTCTCCCTTCTTCGTCTTTGCTTTTGCCTTGCACATCGGAATGCTTTCCAAATCATGTCACTTCTTTTCTCTTCCTCACCGTTTGGTTTTCAGGAGCATGGGAAGCGAGTACCATCAATCGTATCAGCAAGGCGGTGTACACAACTCCTCGAAGGCCAAGTCACAGTTTCAAAGGCAGCCCCAGCAGAGAGTGGGAGCTCCGGATCCTCTACTCAGAGAGTTGTCCGCTCTAAGTCGGGCGCCATCGCTGAGGGATCCATCTACGAGCTCCGTTTGGAAGTCGGGCTTGCCTCCTCAACACAACAGCACCAACAATAGGCTAGACAAGGAGCTCCCTGCTCGTCTTCGTGGACGAGAAGCCAAAGTTGCGAAAGCGCCAGCAAGTTTTCAAGGGGAAACTGTGGATCAAGACGGCTACGGAGAGGAGATTGAGCAGGATCAACTTAGAACGGAATGGCAGGACAAAGTCGTCAACTGGATAGATGGTGGTCTTCGGGAAGGTGAGCGAAAGCAGGCGCTTCTTCGGAGCATCAGCGAGATACTGAATCAAAAGATGGATGCTCCGGATAGTAGCTCCAGCGCCAACACAAAGCTGCGGAAAATTGGATCCCTGGAGCACCAGAGGCCTCCGCAAAACTTGAGAAGGAACAGGCACCAGAAGGAAGGTGGCAGCAGAAGAGGCGGAAGAATTGCGTGGAGGGAGCAAGAGGAGGAAGGGTATGAACTGGAGAAAGCATTGGCCGTGACAAGGCACGAAGCGGATCCAGGCTACGATTACGAGGAGTCCGACAGTTCTTCCGACGACGAAACAGACGGCTTAGTTTCTCACTTGCACTCTCCGTTACTCGCCATGCAGAAAGAGCGGAGGGTGAGACGCCACAGAAAGCTAGCGACGGGAGACCTGGGATGTGCAAACTTTGGCTTTTCTATGGGTTCCCATCCATACAAGAAGTTCCTGCCACGAAAGGGCCATGAAGCCGATGCTTACGACGGGACTGAAAGCAGTCACGGGTGCGGCCTCCCATGGTCTTACTGGCCAAGGCACAAAGGAAAGAACCTCCTCGAAGTAGCTGGGAAAAGTCTCTCCTGCTATCCGGACATTCCAAGGAGGAAGATCACGGGTCAAGAGATGATCCCGGCTCCTGGGAGCATACCTGTTTCTGCAAACACAGACAGTGCTGCTGCTATCTCGAACCTGTCACTTTTAGCTGGTAGTTTGGAGAAGGATTTGGACAGGCTCTCGAATGGGAAAAGGCACAGGAGCTTGAGCCAGAAGTACCGTCCCAAGACCTTCAGGGATATAGTTGGACAGAACATGTTGGTGCAAGCTCTTGGCAATGCCGTGACCAGGGGGAGGATAGCACCGGTATATTTGTTCCATGGGCCTCGTGGAACTGGAAAGACTTCGGCTGCTAAAATCTTGGCGGCGGCATTGAACTGCGTCTCTGTGGAAGATACTCGGCCCTGTGGAGTCTGCAGAGAGTGCTTGCTTCTCTGCCTGGGGAAAAGCGGAGACGTGAAAGAAGTGGACGTTGCAAGTCACGACTCAACAAGTCTAATGAAGAAGCTGCTAATGGACGCTGTGGTTGGGCCGTCATCAGGTCGTTACAAAGTTTTCATCATTGACGAGTGCCACACACTCACAGCAGAGGGGTGGAACGTGTTTCTGAAATGCCTCGAAGAACCCCCAGAGCACGCGGTTTTCATTCTCACCACGACTGACACCGAGCAGTTGCCACATCCGGCGTCAACAAGGTGTCAAAAGTTCCATTTTCCCAAGATCAAGGACTCGGACGTGGTGAGCAGGTTGCAGGCTCTCGCTGCAAAGGAAAACTTGGAGGTGGAGAAAGATGCGCTCGACCTCATCGCGGCAAGGTCTGGTGGTTCGCTCAGGGATGCTGAAACAACACTGGATCAACTTAGTCTCGTGGGACAGAAGATCACTCTAGAAGTGGTGCAAGAGCTTGTACGTTTCAGGGGTTAGTGTGCTGTGGTTTCTAGTTTATTCTTAGAGATTTTTTTCTAGATCATGACTAACATTGTACGAATTTTTTTTCAGGTTGGGCTGGTGTCCAATGCAAAGCTGGCGGATTTGCTGGACATGGCTCTCACTGGGGACACACTGAACACTGTCAAGTGCATTAGAGAGTTCATGGACGCAGGTGTTGAGCCACTAGCTCTCATGTCCCAGATCGCCACCCTGATAACGGACATCCTAGCAGGTGGATACATGCCAGCAAGCGACAAGGGATTTTTTCATAAGCACGCATGTGAGTATTATCTTGAGTTTTTTCAAAGAGTTTCTAAACAAATTTGAACTTTATGTCGTCAGTGTCTAAAGATCAGCTGGAGAAGCTGCGACATGCTCTCAAAACGCTGTCGGAATCTGAGAAGCAAATACGATCTTCTCAAGATCAGACAACATGGCTGACGGCCGCTTTACTACAGTTTGCTCCTGATCCTCACTCTGGATTTCCTGGGTCCTCTGGTAGAACAAGCAATACACCCAGCATATTAGCAGCTAATGACACGAGCGAGAAGGAGACAATAGAGTGGGAACCTCCGCTAACAAAAGAGTCCTGGGATGACGTAGAACATCAGCACCAAGCTGTTCTCTCTGGACACCTGAATTCCCTTCAGATTGACGCAGAGAACAACTTAAAGCACCAAGCTGTTCTCTCTGGACACCTGAATTCCCTTCAGATTGACGCAGAGAACAACTTAAAGCACCAAGCTGTTCTCTCTGGACACCTGAATTCCCTTCAGATTGACGCTGAGAACAACTTAAATGGTCAGGACACCACAGCACAACAACCATCGGCACTTGGAGAAGGTTGGAACTTTGAGTGGTAGAATTTCTTTGTTTCCTACGTGTTCTTCCATGCACAGGTGACAGGGTTGCGCTCGAGCGTCAGCAAAAGCTACTGGACACTTGGATACGGGTTCTGGAAGTCAGCCAGTCTAGCATTCTCAAGCAGCTTCTTTGGAACCACAGTAGACTGTCGTCAATATCAATTGAAGGAGGTAAATGACTGTTGAAATGCTTTCTCCTCTTCACAAATGGTTTACTCAGGTCGTGCAGTAGCACATTTGGAATTTCTACAGGCTGACCACAGAACAAGCGCCGAGAGGTCAAAAACCAGCATCTCTCACGCGTTTCAACTAGTTCTCGGCTTTCCGGTAGAGATTCGCCTCCACCTCTCTGGAGACGAAGATACCAAGTCCAAAAGCCACGAGCAGAAACTCTTGCCCGTTTCGGCGGAGTTTAAAGTTCCGGCCTCGCCTGCAAAGTCATCCGTACCGCAAGCCGAGTATCTCAACTCTCGGTCATTTCCCGTCTTCATCGGGAACGTCAAGCGCGAGGGCGACGAGTTCCCGAAAGGCTCGTGGGACTTTGAAGACTTTTCGCACAGAAAGTCTGGCAGCTCCGAGAACCACTCGGAGAACGATGGCACCAAAGGTTGGGGACTGCGTCAACAAGGCAGACAAATGCTCCAGATTCAAGGCAGACGGTTCAAGCTCAAGACGGTGCGAAACTTTAGCACGGATCTTTGCTCGGAAGCGGGGCAGCACGTCGAGTCCAAGAACCAGTTAAGTAGTGATTATCTTTTGCTACTACTCAGTGTTAACAGTTAGTTTTTCTTGTCCTTCCAGGAAACCAAGTGCTCGGCAAAAGCAAGGTGCCAGTCTACTCTGCTGGAAGACAAACAAAGTGGATGAAGACGACGAAGAAGTAAGAAGCGATTTGGTACGAATGCAAAGGTTCTAAGTCATCTTCTCTCATTCTCAGGAAGCCGAGCAAGAGGCCGCGCGACCATAAGTTACGAGTAGGTAAGCAAATGAATAGTATAATATCAATGGTGTTATTCGCCAGGAAAGTATGAGCACGACTGTGTTTATTTACTCGGAGATGGCAACAAAACTATTGCGAGAAGTAAGCTTATAGAAACTTCATAGACTTGGAACTAGAAGATAGCTACGGACGTACGTTAGGCACTGTTTGTTTAGCAGGAACTCGAGAGAGACTAGTACATAACGATGATGTTGCAGCGTCCTCTGATCAAAGAATTGAATCACACAAACCAAGCACGGCCACAGCGCTTTCTTTTACTTGGAAGGCTTTATAGACGTCTAGCGCCCCACAATGACATAGACGGCGTAGATGATCCCAGGGATGTAGCCGAAGACCGTGAGCAGCAGGCAGATCCAAAACTCGATCTGCCACGGAAGAGAATCCAGGCGGGCCAGAGACGAAACAAACAGAAGAAACAAAACCACCATCAACATCAGGCCAGAAACGAAAACAATCTAAAAGTCTACAGCGTTTATTTCACAGCTCTTGAAACAAGAGTGGCGGTGGAAGAAAAAGAGTGGAGTGACTCTCAGCGGACGAGAGGCTCACGCCCGAAGCTACGACGCCTGCAAAGTATGACATAGACTGCGAAGGCGATCCCCGGCAAGTAACCGAGAACCGTGAAGAGCAGGCAGATCCAAAACTCGACCTGGTCGGAAACGGGAAGAAAAAGTGAGGCGGGATCATGACGATGAGAGTCAACAAAGTAGAGCACGTCCCTCTAATCTACTTTACTTTCCTCTAAGTGGCTACAGAGAAAAGCAAACGCAGAAAGAAAAAAGGGCTCAGAAAAGAGTGGGAAAGTTTTTGGCGAGCCTACCTCACATCCATACTTGAAGAAAACCCCCACTGGCGGGAGAAGAATCGCCAGGAGGATTTCCAGGCATGTCGCCGTGGTGCTATCGTCCATGCCGCCGCCGCCGCCGCCGCCTCGAGAAATCTCTTCTGCTACACAACGAGAACGATCCAAATCGATCGCCGAGCTCACAATTAGAATGTACCTCTTGTAGCGCCGAGATCGCCTCGCCCAGATAGAAACCCTAAGCTCCACAATGCAAACACACACACTAAAAACAGCTAGCTAGCAATGCCACGTGGCGGGCTGGCTGGTTGAAAACGCAGGTGTACCAAATGGATAGATTCCTCAAGTAAAATCACAACAACATTTTTTACTCTACGCGAGAAAAAATTCCACCATTATGGTAGCATCCAATTTAACAAGTGCTTATTAGGCGAAGCTACCTTCCAAATTTTTTTTTTCTCCCCCCTATTTTTTCCGTTTCGTTCGCTTCCAATCCAGGCTAAGTATCTACAGCGACGAGGGAGCACCACACCGAAGTCACTTATCCAACCAGCACGTAGATTGCGTAGATGATCCCCGGGATGTAGCCGAGAATTGTGAGCAGCAGACATATCCAGAACTCAACCTGAGAGAAAACCACAAACCACCGAATTAGCTCCAGCTTTGGAACGCATTCAAGCGGAAACGACTGCGGAAGAGCAAGAGAAAGAGCAACAACTCACCGCGCAGCCGAATCTTAGGAAAACCCCCAGCGGAGGGAGGATGATGGCCAGCAAAACATCAATGAAAGTGGCGCCAGCCATTTCGATCGCCTGCGACTCCCACTCAGAATCAGAGCTGCGAAAGATAGAGATGAGCTAGGAAACAAGAACAGCACAACACTTGCCTGTGCTTCCCACGAGTTATATAAAAGGCGACACGGCGGCTAACACGCGGCAGACGATGGCACTGGACACGCTTCCAGCTGGCACGATCGCGTCTGTCGAGCAAACACTGACCCACGTGTCACAACCATAGCAACAGGCAACACATCATCGTACTCCAAAAATAAAAAAGAGGCCGAAAAACAGCAAAAAAAAAAAAATGTTGAGAGAGACATACCGGCCGAACGAAAATCTCCCGTGGATATGGATGATGGATATACGCATCGCTAATGGCACCTGCAATCCAGCATTCACTAGCGAGTGAATAGCCCCAGACAAAAGAGAAAGAGCCAAGCTAAAGCTATCGACGAGAATTGCAATGTACCGTGTTGGCTCGCGACCAGAAAACCGAGGAGCGGCAGTAGAACACGACACTTTTAAAGTTGCGAGAGTTGGAGCTCCCGACTCGATGTTCCGGAGCTACTGCATGGGCTGTGCGTGCCGAACTAGAGCGGACATGGACTTGGACGCGAGATCCACGCGCTCGGCGCTACAATTCCCGTCTGTGCGAGAGGCTGTTAGCAACTATGGCGAGAAAGTGGTGGCAAAAGCACCGAAACCAAACGTGGTGGAGGTGAGTTACCTTGTTGTTCTTTTTACTTCTGACTCGTTCAACCTTGTTAGAAACTGGCTGCTGTGGAGCAGGAGCTGAAAACTGCCAAGAACGAGATTGCGAAACTTAAAACCGAGTTAGCTTTGTCAGAAGAAAAATGGTTACAAGCAGTCAAGGAAGGTAACGAGATTAAGAAGATGGCGAGTGAGATGGCGAATGAAATGGCAAATAAGCTCGATGCAGCCATGATCGCAGTACAGGTTTGTGATAGCGCTAGAGTCGAGGCTCAGAAGCACAGCGAAATGGTGACCCAAGCAGCGCAGACAGCATGCTCAGCTTTGGAGGAGGAAGCAGAAATGATGAAGACTGAGCATCGAAAGCAAACCGAAGAACTCCAGGCGGAGGTTGCAACAGTTGAGAAGCTTGTCACAGACCTGACCGGAAGCGAGAACATCGCTGAAGGGCTGGCTAAACTGCAGCAGCTGGCGTTTGATACGATGCAAGAGCTTGCCGGCGCGAATGATTTGTTGGATAGCCTGGCGCGAGAGCTAGAAGAGTCGAGGAGGGAACTGCACATGTTAATGGACACGGGAGATGAGATGGAAATGATCAGATCTACAAAGAGGACGTTAGAGCTGGCCAACACTGACTATAAATCTCTATCTGGAGAGGTAGCAAGGCTTAAGCTGAAAAGTCTTACCTCGAGAGGCGAACTGGCAGAAGCTCAAGAGGTTGTGAAGCCCACAACAACGGAGCTGAACGAGGTCAGGCTCCAGCAATCCGGCCTGATCGATGAACATGCAAAAGAAACAGCAGAGTTAGCGAGCGAGCTCAGCGCCCTCAAAGACACAGAGAAGCTGCTCCAGGAAGAACACTCAAAGTTGAAGGACGCTTTGATGCATGCAAACACTCAAGCAGATGAATTGAAGGCCGCTCTGATAGCGGAGAAAGAAAAAGCCAGAGTAGAAGCCGAGCAACTCAAATCCAGTATGGAGAACAACGCAGATAAGCTCAGTTCTATAGAGCAGCTCTTCATTGATTTTAAGAAGTCGCTGGACGTGAAAGAATCATCAGCAAACCGAAAAATAACAGCAGCGCTTAGCGAGGCCAGCGCCGCCAGGATTCGAGAACAACACATGATGATCAGGCTCGACGCACTGAGGGAGGAGCTGGACGAAGCCAAGATGGCAGCAAACAAAGCATCTAGGAAAGCGGAGACCACGGAAGCTGAGAAGCTGATCATAGAGAGCGAGCTGAAGAGGTGGAGAAAAGCATCCAAGCTTCTCAGTGACCGGAGCACTAACAGCAAACACCACCGAAGAACAACACTGGACGAAGAAGAGTCGCCAGAGTCGGAGCTTGAACAGAGCAAGAGTATACTGGGAACATACCTCTCCAGGAAGAAAGCATCACGCTAAGCTTTGGCCTTGCTTGCATCCCTGCACGAAGAGTAAATAGGAACTTTTAAATCATAAACTAGTAAACATTACCACTCGACTAGAACATACGAGGAGAGCACCAAATCTATTCTTGAAGTGTTCCTCTCCAAGCTCTTCCAAGCCAAAAGCTGAGAGCATATCCTATAGGCAGGCTTCATAGTCAGTCTACAAAAGAAACTCTGCCACTCAATATAAACAGACTAATCGCCCTCCCCCTCAAAGAATGCCAGAAAATCTTACGTCCAGCCGACCTTGCGAGGAGATTGTCTCCGTTAGTTGCCGGGGGAACCTGCCGATTGCTTCGTCTCCGCGAGGTGCTTTTCCACAAATTTGTCGACGAGTTCTCTTATCTGCAACAGTTCATCATCATTATAGGCTACAAACAGGAAGAACAAAACACAAACCTTATTCTTCCTCTTGCCGTTAAGATAGTCTGAAATGTTTACGTCAGTATCGCGTATCCCATCTCGTTCCATCACCTATACCAATAATCACTGAATCAACAAGTGCAAGTAGAGTTTTTTTACCTTCATGGTTGTCTTTTTTGCGATGGCTTTGAACGCGTCCTTCTGGATCTTTCTGGTCTTGTACAAAGGTGTCAATAAATGGACAACGTACTCTGATAAAGCTTTCTTGATCTGATCCGGAGTGCAACGGTCCTTAACTTCATAGGATTCGGATGGAAATCCCCGTCGTTTCCTGTCATCCCTCAGCCTATCGCCCACACTAAAAGTTTCGAAGTTTGCTGTCCCTTTCCCAACCATCTCTGCATCTATAGCTTGTTCCTGATGCTGCGGTCCGAGATACTCACCCATGACCTGTGAATTACCTTCGCCTTGCAGAACAACGTTCGGACTACTTGCATTACTACAGCTGCCACTGAGATCTAAAGGCAAGCCCGAAAGTCTCCGAGAGCCATCGCTCGGCCTCCGATTCAGAACCTCGGGGAATTTCCTTCTCTTCAGGTCCACTGGAACATCTTTCGTCACGACCTTTTCCCGCTTTGCAAATTTGTGAAAAGACAAGATCTTCGGGGGTTCAGGAAGAGCTGTTCGCTCGGCTTCGGCATTTGCATACGCCTACAGAAAAAAAGGTAAGTATCCAAAAGGTTTGAGAGATAACGTAAAACCTCAGCAGCAGCAAGAGCGGCAGCTTGACACGCTTCTGCCCTGGCACGAGCAGCAGCCTCCAAGTCCGAAATAAGAGGCTCGTTTTCTCCGGATTCAAATTCTATTGGACCTTCTGAACTCGAAGCACCATTTTTCTGCTCGTGTCTACTGGTCGCCTGTTCAGCATTTCCGTGGCTGTGGTCCCTTTGCGACGATGAGCATGCGGGAGCGGAAGAAACAGCAGTATCGTCCTCCTTTTTCACGACGTTTTTCCTAAACTGCTTCAGCATGGCCTTTTCCCGACGGTAAAACTCGCACCACATCGCCACCAGTTGGCCCGCCAATGCGCGGATATCTCTCGATGTGTGTTGGCATACTTTTTCTTTAATTGTTCTTCCAATACCTGTACGTCGACTATTAGAATAAATATGGACAAAGAAAAGCGTACCAGAAAGACGAACAGCAAGCATATCCGTAGCTACGGTAAGAAGAAGACGAAGACAGAGTCGTAAGAGTTGTGTTCCATCCTTTCCCATAGAATCCTGCACCAAACCATGAGTTTAAAGCATAAGGAAAATTACAATGGCGTACCAGTATCCATGAGTTCAATATTGAGAGTCCAGTTTTAGTTCCCACAAAACCCTTCACGGAGGACGCTGACAGTCCGGTCATCTCTTTTGCCAGAAACAATTTTCCGGCTGTAGTCTTAGCGTTTCGGAACATGTCTTTTAAGAGGTCCGCTCTCGTGAAAGGCTCATCCTCGCCATCCAAAGAGTTTCCTTCCCTGTACTTATTGTTTGCATACTCGGCAGCCTGAATCCTGATTTGCATGTCTCTAACTTCGTTTCTCTCGCTGTCAGGTTGCCTCTGTGCGGCAGTCATTTCCTCAGCCTCTTCAATCAGGTCCCCTCTGTTTTCCAAAATATCAAGTATCCGCACAGCCTCTTTCAGACCACTCAAAATGGCTCCTCCCACGGTATCAGGGTGCTCCTTGCAAGTTGCCTCACCCGCGAAAAACACGCAATCTTCCACAGGTCGTCCCAGTATATCGTAGTCTTCGCCAGATGCACCAACGGCTACGTAAGAATACGCACCTCTGCTGTACTGATCTGATCCCCAGTCTGTCACTTTAAAAGTCTTGGGCTCCGGAACTTTCGTACGACCGTAAAGCTTCCGAAGGATCTCAACAGCATGAGACACGAGGAAAGACGAGCCAGACTTTGCGTCGTCCACTGCAGCTTTCCCGACTACGAGCGCTATCAGAACCGGAGCACCGACTGTCTTGACCAGATTCCAGAACATAAAACATCTGCCGCGGGACTCTGTGTCTTCCCCAGTAGCACCAAATATATCCACGTTCTCATCCCAGAACACGGTCTCGAATTCGAGGACGACCTTGTTCAGCGTACCAAAGCCAAGCCGACTAATGGAACCGGACTTCCAGGACGGTAGTTGCGGGACGAACTTGATGGACTGGGCTTTCAAGCACCCAAGCGGAACTGTTACCAGAACAGCGTCGCACATGTGGACTTCGCCATCCTCTGTCTTCACTCTCACTTGCTTCTTTTTCCCGGTTTTGATATGGACGTCCTTTGCAGTGTATGAAACTTCTGTAACTACTCTCCCGAGCTTCACGTCCAAACCTTGAGCTAAAGCTTCCACCAAAGTGCCATACCCGCCCTTTATCATGCAGTGTGGCCCAGCAAAACCGCCATAAGTATCGTCCTGGTTCCAGTAGGCGAGGGATACTTTATCGAGCTGAGCAGCGCAGCCGTATTCCAGGTTCGCAAAATGCCAATCCATGATTCGTCTTTCAAGCTCAAGCGAACAGCTTAAACCGTCTTGTTGATGCAGTACACCGTTCTCAGTCGAAGGATCTGGAGCACTGCTCGCAAGCTCAGTTATCTTCGCCTGCGTCACATCTGCGACTGTAACTTGACTTTGGTCGAGGACTGTGCTCTTCGGTATATGTAATCCCTTCCGCTTTGAAAGCGCTTGCTCAAGACCCTCCTCAAGTGACATTCGTAGTGCCGCGTCGCTGTTTTGAGCCACTATGGTAATAGTATCATCCAGTAGAGTATTCAGCTTGTCCTCCAGAGCTGCGTCTATGTCAGCCGGAACCTTACGACCTGTTACACTATCATACAGCGGACAATCCCCGCGAACCGACGTTAGTCCGAGACCAAGCTGCCTGCAGATCAAAGCCGAAGGGTCCGCTCTTCTTTCCGCATCAGCTTCTACACCTGTAATAATGCTAGCTCCCAAATCTACCGGCACTGAAAACGTCGAGCGATCAGTATACACTCGACCGCCAACTCTATCCCGAGCCTCAAGAATCATTACGTCGAAGTTCATACGCTGCATATGCCTCGCGGCAACTAATCCAGCCGGACCACCACCTACAACTATAATTCGTTTCCTATCATGGCCCTTCTCCCTGTCACTTGAAACATCTGCGCTGCCATCTATATCCATTGGTGTTGTGGCATCTGAAGCAGGAATATGTCCGTTTTCCTGTACTTTGTGGATGAAGCCCAAGGGTTCATCCCCTGTCCCTTCCCTGAATTCTTCACCTTGTTGTTCTTCGAACTTGACTCTTTTCACGATGCCAGTGTTAATGTATCCCTGAAAAGCTCAAAAACGTTACTACTTTTTAAGAAACTAGAAAAGGCTTCGGACGCTTACGTGATAGTCTAGAAACTCATGAATGTTTCGGACAAGTCCAGCTCGAGGCGGTTCGTTGAGCTGCGCTACCTCACTCACGCCACAGTCCGCGACAGTCAAATGGCGCCTCACATCTTTCGTCCACAGCTGCAATATAAAGTTCCTGCAGCAAAGCTTGCAGACCGATAAGCCTTCAGCAGTAAAGCAGCCGAGAAAACAGCACAGTTACCTGCATTCCAGATACTCGGCAACCTTCGTCTTGCGCTTCACAACCTCTTTGAAACGAACCCTCTCGGTGGAGCTGAGCTGATCCGGCTTCAAGCCCACGGACACGGCCGGAAAAGCCTCACACTCTTGCTGAGCCGGCATCTTGTCCGCGCTCCCCATCAAAACCTCGAAGTCGAGCTCTCCGCTAACATCCCTCTTGCGCTTCTTATACTCCCTCAGAGGCTGCGTCGCCTTGAGCACCGGCAAGACGCTCTCCTCGAGCTCCTCCAATTTCACCTCGTCCGGCTGCCTTCCATCACTGCCTTCTTCCGACTTAACAGAGTCGCTAGCGGCCACAACCACGTCCCCGTCCATCCTAGTTTCCACCTTACCCTCGAAAACCACGGTAGCCGAGCTCAATCGCTGCTCCATCACTTTGCCCTCGGAGATCGATTCCAGAGCCGGTGCGGCGTCGTCCCCGGCCTCGTCGAGCGAGGCGGCCGCCACGGACTCGCCGCATGCACACTCGTGCTCCTCCATCATGGCCTCAAAACCCTAAAACGGAAGAGGAGGTCGCCTGGCACCTCAGAAAAGAGAGCTGCCATCACCGCCGCGCTCCCGGCAGCTCGAATCGAAATCCTCGCACCTGGATCTCGGGCCGCCGCGGTTCTCCCCCGCATTCCTGTCGCGACGAGGAAGCCCTAGAGCTCATTGCCCAGCGCGGAGATCCGCGGATCGATTCCCGCGACAAAAAAAAGCACCCGGCGACTATTTCTGCTTAACCTAATCTCCCGGTTGTACGGACACTTTCTAGAGGCGTACGGCTGTGACTCCAGGAGGAACTTTTCGTTGGCCAGATCGACGGATAAGAGGGGTTCGTCGGGCTTCCAATGCGATTGGCACACGTGGCGGAAGGAAAGCGCGCGCCCGAGGGCGATAAGGTGGCCACTTTTCCTTCCCTGGATGGATGAGGTTCTGGAGATTTTTCCATTCACTTTTAACTAGGGTTTGAGCGGCGTACGGAAGAATTCCTAGGTGGGGAATGGGACATTTTGTCAGCGAGGGGGACGTCTCAGTCTCCGCCCAGAGAGAGCGAGAAAGAAAGAGAGAGTGAGCTTTGATTGATACATCAGAGAGGAGACAACTAAGAATGGGGCTAAACAACTCACCAGAGTGGGGTCGAGATCACGCTAGAATTTCAACGCCAATCCCGCAAATGCCGTTTCGTGGCAAATTAGCCCATCTCTGCTGCAAATAAACTGTGGGCCGCGTCGAGATCACCACTTAATGCTCTCTCATTTCGTCTTGCCCGTCTCTCTGAAAGCCCCTGACCCTGACTTGCGCGGAATGGCGCGAGCTGATGATGATCAGGTAAGGGCGAGAGACAGAGCAACCTGCAACAAGCAAGAAAGCAAAGAATCCATCAATCAACGCAGCAGCAGCAGCAGCAGCGGCAGCGGCAGCAGGACTGATGAAATCCATTTGTTTTGACGTTTGCATGCAGGGGGCACTGTTTTGCTCGTCACAAAGCCCACACAGCAGATGAACGAAGAGGGCATCCAACAGCGACATCTAACGAGCCAATTTTTTCCAATGCAGAAAAATGCAACTTTGAAAAGAACACAGAGAGAGGGAAAAAGTAGGAAGAAGAAAAGGTGGCGGGCAGAAAATGAAAGCCAAGCCCTTTGCATTCAAACACCCACCACCATTTCCCCATTTCTTATAGTCCGTCCCGTCCCACGCCACGTTGTTGGTTGTGGTCGGCCGGCCCCACGAGAACCAGATGCCTCGATAATACACCAGAAAGGTGGCGAGCAATGAAAACACACTTAGGTTTCAAGAACTTATTGGGCAGAGGGTGGTGAGATCTCAGTGAACTGAGTCTGTACAACACAACCATTAGACAAAAGGGGAAGAAAACCAAATATCTTATCATTTTGGTTCCCTTCAAGCTTCAGTGCCCTTGGGCAGCGGGCTGCATTTTCCTGCGCTTCTGTAAACGAATGAGAGGTTAGCACTTGTATGGATCTTACAGGCGATTCCTGGAAAAAGAAAAACGTTGATTTGTATACTGGGGCCGATTCCTGTAAATTGACTGCAGCGCAATCGCGGCCGTCGGATGGCGGCATATGCGACGAATGTGCGCCGAGCTCAATGGCCCTGGCAATTCCTTTATGGGAAAAAGAGGACCCAGAAGAGAGAGGGAGAGGAAAGGAGGGGCATGAAGACAGGAGAACGAAAGCAGAAGGATGAGAGAACTTAATTCATTGCAGGGAGAGAGGGACAGAGAGAGAGAGGGGAGCTGAAGAGAGCGAGCCAGCGAGATCAAGCGAGAAGTTCACAGAGCGAGAGAGAGAGAGAGATATTGGGATTGTCTTGTCCTTGCCCCTGGCATTCTTATTCTTCATTCTAGAGTAGCTCTCCTTTTCCTGGCATTTTGATCTAGAACCAAGGATAGAGAGGTACCTCTTTGATCTGGCTTTGGAAATGGAGCTACTTGCTCCAAGATTTGTCGACGCTACTGCTGCTGCTGATGCTACTGCTGCTCCTAGAGGCTTGGAACTTTCGAGCTTGCTCCAGCGCACTGGGCAGCAATTGGGATCCAACTCTAGGGGCTTGTCAAGTCCCGAGAGGTGTTGAGAAGAGAAAGGAAGATCTTACCATGAGCCGCTGGCGCCTAGCGATGATCCGGAAGAAGCTAAAGTAGTCTCCTCTCCAGCACACTTCCTTGATACTTTCGTACACAATTTCCTTTAGGGGCCATCGACCGAGGATGAATCGCTGCGCGACGACGTCGCTTCCTCCAGCGGTCTCGGACGAGGAGGAAGATCTGAGGAGCAACAGCAGCACCGCCTCGGTGGTGTCCTCCTCCTCGTCCTTGCATCTCCATCACCAGGCACAGCTCCAGCAGGCAACTCCAGCTCCGCAGATGGCCGCTCTAGCCAGCTCTGGAAGATCGATCCGCAGGAAGAAGAAGCGCGACGATCTGTGCGACGCATGCAAGGCCAAGAGCGCGCTCTGGTTCTGTCCCGCCGACGATGCCTACCTCTGCCACTCCTGCGATCAATCCGTGCACTCGGCCAATGCTTTCTCGCTGCGCCACGAGCGCGTCAGCCTTCAAGTGGAGGCCGTGGAACCCGTGAAGACGAACTCCTCGGCCGCCTCCAAGAAAGAAGAGGATGCCTGCCAGGAGCAGGAGAAGGATTCGTGGGATTCTTGCGGCAAGAACAAGCGGCCGCGCCGAAATATCTCCTTCTCCTCCCCAATCTGCAAGAACAACAGGATGATCAAGCCTTTGGACGAGGAGACGACGTCGCAGCGCCAGGTTACCGGTGAGAATGAGTCGTCCAGTCCATCGCAATCGCCAGAGGGCTCCAAGAACTGCAACAGCCGCGAGGAAGGGGAGAATCGCCGGCGAGAAGATCAACACGAGGAGGAATTGGCGCACACGGTGCCGGTGTTCGTCCAGCCAGTGGAGCCGGATCGATCGAGCGAGGAGGACAAGGAGCAGCATTCGCACTCGCCAGCGTCTGGAATCGCGACGGATCTGGGAGATTGCGACGAGGAATCCGACGATGCCGGCGACATCGATCGCTTCCTCAACGCGGATCACGTCCTGTCCGAGGACGACGATTACTCCCATCCGCAAGAACGCCAAGAACACAAGAGAGAGGGCCACGACCATGGCGAGCAAGGGCGAGGCTTGATCGTGGCACCCACGGCCGCCACGTGCGAGGATCTCAACGGCCTCCTGGGCCTAGGGAGCAATTCCCTGGAGGAGCTCGTGGACGACGATGGTGACGATGACGACGAGCAGCGCTTCGACTTTGCGATCCGGAAGAACCAGGCGATGCGCAAGCAGCAGCGCATTCCGGAATTCGGCAACCTGGGGATGGACGGCAGCGATGGCGAGGGTGGATTCCACCGCGGGAGGGTCAAGGCCGAGGAGCACGACCCCTACATTGAAGGGCTTGGGGAGGAGGAATTTCTCAAGCCATGTCGGGAGGGCATCCTGGGCGAGATTTTAGGGCTCAAGCTCGGGGAGAGCTGCTATGAGCGCGATCTCCAGCAGATGCACGCCCAGCATTTGCAGCGCCGGATTTGCCTCCGCCTGGATTACGAGGACGTGCTGAATGCGTGGTCGGATCGGCGGCCATTCCTCACGGATTCCAGCTCCGCGGCGATGGCGGCAGCGGCGGCGGGGCGAATCAATCATCAGATGCCAGAGGACTCGACATCCGACGCTGCAGTAAGTGTTCTTCCTTCTCGCTTTCTTGGGTTTAGGGTTTAGTGGTGCTCTTTTTTTTTTTTTTTTTTTTGATTTCCAGTAATTGTTCTTCCTCGGCATTAGCAGCGAATCCCGCATGAACAATTGTTTTATCGTTGATTGAAAGTCTCAACTTTCTCTCTTCATTTGTTTAATCTTTCCTTTCCCTCTTTTCTTTGTTTGCCTTTGTTTAGTGTCCGAGCTTTTGTTTGGTAGCCAGTAGCTCAGTTGCTCGTTCCCTTGCTGTTGCATATTCAATTCTTTGTCAGCTCGTTTAAACATTTTTACTGGATTGCTCGCGATATGGTGTCTTGTTGTCAGCAGCCTCCGATTTGACGGCGTGATTTTTCTGTCGTTGAAAGTTTGTCCTGTTCTCCTCGTCTGGAAAGCTTTTTTCCCTCGATCTTGAGTTTCTCGTCGTTAGAAGCTCCTTTTCTTCCTATGCTTTGCTCGTGATTGTTTATGCTTATCTTAGTGTTCGATGTGGTTATCTCGTTTTTCCAGCTTGTTCGGGTCTTTGTGTTTAATAGTTTTCATGTGAACTTCTTTTACGTGTCTGTGATCTCTGGATTTGATGGTGTGGTTGTTTGATGCATTTGAAACAGGGCAGCTCGGATGTTGGTGTTGTTCCAGACTTGAGCAGTGCGGGGAGCCGGCGAAGCGGACGGCCGTGCGCGGTGGAACAGGCAGGCCGAGTGCCTGTGGTGGCGCGCATGGAGCTCCACGACGGGCCAAATGCGGAAACACCAGGAGGAGAAGCGGCGGCAGCAGCGACTGGAGCAATGGCAGCAAGCACAGGAAGCGGAGGACGCGAAGCACGGGTGTCCCGCTACCGCGAAAAGCGTCGGACTCGCCTCTTCTCCAAAAAGATCAGATATGAAGTCCGCAAGCTAAATGCCGAGAGGCGGCCTCGGCTCAAGGTTCGTTTCCGCCCATCACGTTTGCTTGCCTTTCTGTCGTCTTTGTTTTGCTGGTCTAGTTTCTGGTTTGATCTTAGCTGGCCGCTTTTGTTATGGTTGGGTTGTCATGTCCGATCGTGAGTTCGTTTTCGTGTTGGGCTTAAAGGCTGGTGTTCTGCCTTTTCGTTCCGGTTTCAAGTTTAAAAGTTTCCGGTTTCTACTATGCAGGGTCGTTTCGTGAAGAGATCGCCAGTTGGTTGAAGTGCGAGCAGTCGCGCTCATGCTTGTCATCGTCATCTCCCTCGGCTGTGATGAAGCGAGCCAATAACTTCTCCCTTCGTGATCGAAAGGAGACAAAAGTGCCGCCGCTGCGTGCTCAAAAGCTCGCTCTGCTGCTCTTGGAGATCCAACAGCGGAAAGCAAAAAAAAGTGACAAATAACTTTAACTCTGGCCGCGGGAAGCGAAGACGACGCGCCTCGACGAGGGGCTCAGTGCACTGCTGTGTTTGTACAGACGAGGAAACAATCCATTGGAGTGAAGACTGTGAAGTGGGAACACACTCTACGGAATGTTTTAAGAGCCACCTCCTGCAGCAAGGAAGAAAAGAAAACTCGACGTCACCAAAGCATGAACTCACGCTTACATCAGTCCAGTCACTGCTGCTACTGCTGTGCAGCCTTGTCCATCTAGAGCTGTGTAATAAAAATCCTGGCCTTTTCTAACAAATGCCTCTGGTGATCAGTCATCTTCCAGCCTGCAAGAAGTTTTGATGTCAACAATTCGCTAGAAAAAAGAGAAAAAAGAAACCAAAAAACAAGACGCTTCTTTACCGCTGATGATATAGAGTCGCGGTTTGAAGGCCCGGATTCGCTCCTTCTCCCTCCGGCTGAAGCGTCAGAAGGCCGCCTATACGGAGACATGGACCTGGACAGTGTCCCCGAGCCCAGCTTGCTCAGTACGTAGTCTTCTTCTCTGTTCAAAGGGAGCAAGCCACTGCTCATTGACCTCACTCTGCACACGCAAGCAATGTGGGCGAGGCGAAAAGATGGAAAAAGCTATTCTCCCGCACGCACCTTGCCCATGGTGGCAAAAAATACGCTCTGGTGGATCTTCCTGGTCTGAATTGTACGAGCTGCTTCAATGTCCGCGGGGAGATCACATAACTATCTGCATGCCGTATGTTAGAGGAGAGTCAAGTGGTCGCTCTCGCCTTTCTTCCTTAGCTCCTTTACTTTAGTTTTGCGCAGATAGAGTGTCGTGGTACCTGGATATTCTGCATAGAAGCTGTGGGGGAACCTGAGAGAAACCAGCAAGGAAAGTCACTTAGATACTGGCAAAGAACGAAAACCGAGTAACTCACTTTCCACGAGCTTTCAACTTCTCCCTTCTTGCAGTGATGCCGCGGAGGTAAGTCGTCTGACCAATCTCAAGCATTTTATGTCTCAAAAGGACATTCTCTCTTCGTAGCCTTGCCAATTCACCCTCTTTCAAGCCTCCTGGAGCACAAAAACCCCTTAGGCAATATTTTTTAAGTCCCCTAAGGCTGGCACGCACCTACCACCGTGTGTTGATAGTTGCGAGCTTTCACTGGATCAATTCGCAGCATCAAATACATTTTCTTGTCTAGATTACCAGCCTGAGCTCAGAAAACTTCATCGCAAGTGAGGTATTCGTGAGCAAGAAGTTCAAAGGGATTACCGAATAAACATCACTGTCGAGATGCATCAACGTCCACCACAAACCAGTCTCTGGATATCTCACGTTGCAGTCCGCCAATGCACTTTGGATTGAGCAGATAAGGTTCCTCCTGCAACGAAAAACCACAACTTCAATCGGAATGACATTACACCGAAGAGTACTCACGCATGTGCATAAAACAAGCAGAAGCAAACGTAACGATTCATGCAGGTTTGTGCACGCCCAGGCGTTGCACTGCAAGACACACAAGAGGACTTAGTCATTAGGAGATCGAAAACCAAGGGAAGAACGGACTCACTGTGCCACAATCTCGTTGATCGTTTTAACGGTGTCCAAAAACTCCTCCACGCTCACAAAATCATGGAGGTGCTCACTAAAATACAAGTCCGAAGGATCAAAGATGCCGCCGGTAACGCACGAACACGTCCCTGCAAAAACACATTCCCGGAATCGTCCCTGTAATTTAATAAGCAGCAGGATGGAGGAAGCAACAACACAAAAACAAATATAAAAATTTCCACCAGACAAAGTGGCACTCACCTCCAGGATCAGCTCCAACAAACTGTGAAGCGATGATGATGGGATCATCGATGTCCGGAATGTCGCAGTCGTCTTGATACGGTGCGAATTCCGTTTGAAGCATGCGTGCTCCTCGTTTCCCACCATACTTGACAATTAGCTCCCTCAGCAAGAAACAAGGATGCACGTACTCGATTGGACGGTCACACGTCGGGCATCTGGATAAAGCAGCCATCACAAGAATGAGCAAACGCGCAATGTCAAACAAAAAAAAGAAAGAAAAGAAAAGAACAAAATCAGCAAGGAAGAACAAACAAAAGCTATCAGCAAAACAAGGTCTAGCAGGACCTATGAAAAAAACAAAAGATATCAGCAAATAGAGTTCTAGCAGGAGAACAAAAGCTATCAGCAACCAAAGTTCTAGCAGGAGAACAAAAATACCAGCAAAAAAAGTTCTAGCAAACAAAAGCTATCAAAAAACAAGTTCTAGCTATACTGCTCACAAGGGACAAGCATCAAACTAAATTCTAGCTATCTCTCACGAGATCAAAGTAGAAGAAAAATCAAGTAACAGTCTCTCACCCTTTGGATCTGGTGAAGCTGTTTTGGAGGCATCGCGCACAGAATACGTGCCCACACCCGGTCTCCACCGCGTGCTTGAAGACCTTGGAGCACAAAGGACAGTTCAAGAACCTTACATTCTTGTCGCCGCGCAGAGAGATGCTCGACTTCCTCACGGACGACGATCGCGATCCTCGAGCTGGCGTTGCCGACGCCGCCAATGGCGATGCTACTGCTACTGGCGATGCTGGCACTGCTGCTGAGCCCGATGCCGATGCCGAGGCCTCCGGCTTGGATTCTCCCTTCTTGTCACCGCCGCTGACGCTGCCGATCCTGCTACTCCTGGTGCTGCTGTCGGCGGAGCTCGGCCTCTTGGTTGGATTCTCCATCGTTAATTCGCTCTCATCGATCAAGCTCCAGCTGCCCCTCCAAAGAGGAGTCACGCCCTTCGACTTTTTAGGGCAAAGGCAAACGAGTCCGTTTAATTTTAAAAAACCCTAATCGGCGGGAATTCAATTTCCTTGTTAGTTTACAAAAAGAACAAAACCAGAAAAGCCGGGCCGATTTTTTCCTTTCTTTTTGCCGAGAGAGCAAACGAGCGAGAAGTTCTTCTCCTTCTTCTTCGTCCTCTGGAGAGAGAGAGGGAGAGAGAGAGAAACAGTGAAGTGAAACTTAGCTCTTTGGAGTGGCAGTTCTTTTGATCTTGAGCCGGACATTTGGCGTGTGCATGTGTTGCCGTGTATAGAACTCGGAGAAATCCAGCCGGAAGGACAAGAACTTGAGATCAACGTGCTGCTGGACGGGGAGCTGGGCGATAAATCCTTCCAGCAGCGACGAGTACTCGGCAGCAATCGCCACCATCTCTTCGCCCATGGTGGCAAAAAACTCGGTGGTGTGCTGCTTGGTCGCGTTTCTACCCCTGAGTAAACAAGCCAGGAAAGGAACTTAGAAAACTTCCATCTTCGAGCACCAGCGAAGGAAGAAAAGTATTTCACGTACCTGGTCTGGACCTCTCGAGCATTCTCGTACAGCCGATCCGCGAGGCCCCGGAAGCGCAGGATGAGATCAAACAGCGTGAAGAGCGTCTTGGACAGCAGCTGGGATCGCTCTCCGAGCAGCGCCTTCTCCATGATCGATCCCAAGTACTTCTCGTGAGCGGCGATCAGCTCGTCCAGGTCGTGGGCCTCCTCCATCTCTTCCAGAAAGTTGGCCCACGAGTACTCGAGCACCTCGAACATGATGTAGTACTGGAGGTTCGTGACGAAGTGGTTCATCTCCGTCCGGAGCGTCTGGCACCGCCGCAGCACCGCAACCAGCTGCGACTTCACGGCCCCGTCCACGACGCTCGTCCACGGCCGCCCGAGCGAGCAATTCGGTTTCATCGTCTGCCAGGTCGCGCTCAGTGCGTGCTCCACTCGCTTGAGCCTCCAGAGGAAGTTGAAGATGCGAAGGTAGCTCCCCATGACTTGCTCGGTGAAGATGGTCGTCAGGGGGTCCCTTGCGTTGTACTCGAGAGAGAAAACGTCCCAGCCTCGGTCTCCGTCGCCGTGAGGCATCATCTTTACTCTCAGCCGGTCGAGAACTTCGGTGTCGTCATACTGTGCATTCAAGGCTCGGATGGCGCTCTCCAAAAGCCCCGCCAGCTTGAATGAGCTCACGGTGTTTGCCGGCTGCGAGAGGTCGGGTCCGACGAGATCCATCAGATACTGAATGAAGTCCCCTTGGCCCAGCAGAAGGTACCTCTTGATAGCCAAGCAGTGGTCTCGAAACTTGTAGCGCTCGTATATGATCTTGATGACGTGACGGTCGATCCTTCCGGCTGCCTCGACCACCAGAGTCTCGAGAACTTCCGTCTCTCCGTATCCCAGGCTCCCCGCATTGGCAGAAGCTCCAGCAGCCGCCAGAGCCTCCGCGGCCTCCGTCGCCCACTGCTGGTCTTCGCAGCAGACCCGCAGAAAGTTGATGGACTTCCCCGTTCTCAGTATCCTCTGAGCAAGCGGCTCTGGAATGAAAGACGGTAGCATTCCACTTTGCAAGCTATATCCTTCCCTCCACAGCGCCTCAGCCTTGACCGGTTGAGCCAGAATGAAAAACTCTCCATACAAGTCGTCCACTTCGCCTTCCAGCACCCAGCGTCTCACCATCTCGAACAACGGAGAGCAAACTCTTCGCAGAAGCCGGCTCATGAAACTCCTCACCAGCGGGTCACCGTGCTGAGCGTGGGCGTGTATGGCTCCGGCCATGGCTCCCCCTCTCAAACACTTACAATCGTCAACCAGCACAGCCATCAACCTCATTCGTGCCAGAGGCTCGGCCAGCCATACCCACAGCCTCCGCAACGAGAGATAGTTCCCGACGCTCTTCCCGGTCTCTCCTACGGCCAGGAACGGTATCTGGTTGTGGAGTTGCGCCTCGAGCACGGCCATCAGTCGATAGTACTCGGATAGCTCCTCTTGTAGCGCCGAGCTCAATGCTTGCCCGACCGTCCCAATCACCTCCATAGTACCCTGCTCGAGCGTCTCGGAGATGTGCCCCTGGACGCGCTTGAAGAGCCAGCCAACTTCGCAGAGCCGCCGGACGAGCACCCTCGTCGCTCTTGGGATCCTCAAGTTCTCGTCCACGATGTATCCATCGGCCTCCTTGTCAAACCTTACGTACCGGCCATCTATCCCCTGGCAAGCGTACAAAACGTCCCGGACAAGCGCCGCCTCGGAGAGCTCAAAGGATTCCTGTGTAAGATCACCAAACTCTCGGAGAGCGGTGGCCTTGACGGTGTCCGAGTCCCTGGCAAGAACGAGCACTCCGCCACCACCACCACCATTTTGAGGTGCTGCTGCAAGCTTCTCGTTCGTGGAATCCGGCAATGCTGGTAGCCCTCCAGCGGCAGCGTGGGCGGAGATTGTGGACGTGAACGGCACCGCCGTGCCCCTCGTCTCGGCTCTTTCCCGCCGCTGGTCCTCCGCCACGGCCCTGAGAAGATAGAGCATCGCCCAGCGGTTCTCGATGCTGCCCGGGCCGCTCAGTGCCGCCAGGCGGCGGTGCAAATCCGCGAACGTGAGGGCGTCCGAGGAGCGCCCCTCCATCACCAGCTGCCGCTTGATAGACTCGGCCATGGCTGCCTCGTCGCTGGCCAGCGACGACACAATGCGGGATCCCACGATGCGCATCGCGTACCTGAAGGCTTGATCCGCCACAGCGTCCAGATCGCCATCGCCGCGCTGCTGCTGCTGCTGCTGCTTGGCCGCCGGGAAAATCCGCTGGACGAGCTGCTTGACGAGACCCGCGACACCATCACCGGCTTCCATCGCCCAGAGACGAAAAGAGCTTCGCCCTAGCCCTAGAACCCAAGCTGTGCTACATTCCCGCTTCTTTACGTTATCCTGCTGGGAATCGAAACCATGCTCTGGAGTTTTAAGCTGCTGGGGATTCGAAACCCCGACGTCTGCCCTAAAATTTTAGTTCTTTCTCTTTCGCGAGGGAGCATTCGTGGCGCTAGGGTTTTTGGCGCTCGTGGCGCTGCGTGGCGATGGCGGCCGTCACGTACCTGGAGCAGCAGAGCCGATTGGAGCCGGATCTTGCCGAGTGGTACAATGATCTGGCGCATCTATACCGGCACAAGCTCTGGCATCAGCTCACGCTCAAGCTCGAGAAATTCTTCCAGCACCTCCGGGTAGGCAATCTCTCGCCCTCTCGCTCCCTCTCCCGAGATTTTGGTGAAAATCTGGTGATATTATGGTGGGTTGCTTGCAGGATGGCAATGACATGATCAATCTCTACCACGAATTCATCACGGACTTCGAGTCCAAGATCAATCACCTCAAGCTCGCTCACTTCGCGGTGATCGTGTCGCAGCACTACGAGGAGAAGGAGGTAGCGATCTCCTACTTGGAGGGCGTGATTGGCAAGCTCCGGGCGACTGGTGACAGGCGTGTGGAGGAGCCCGTGCTGTACGTGAAGATGCAAATAGCCGCATTGAAGCTCCAGAAGGGGGAGCTAAAGGAATGCAAGGTGCTGCTGGATGAGGGCAAGAGCACGCTCGAGAGCATGACCGATGTTGATCCATCGGTGCACGCCAGCGTCCATTGGGTGTCTTCACAGTACCACAAGTCCAAGCAAGAGTTTACTAGCTTCTATCGAAGCGCTCTTCTCTACTTGGCTTACACGTCAGTGGAGAGCCTGTCGGATTCCTTCAAGCTGGTAAGATTCCCTCCACTTTTTCTTTCTGTCTTTTTTTTTTGTTGCTTGATTCTGGGCTAAAGCTCTTTCGCTATGGTTGTGTCTGTATGTAGGACCTGGCTTTCGACTTGTCCTTGGCAGCGCTCCTAGGAGATAACATTTACAACTTTGGAGAACTTCTTGCGCATCCTATAGTAAGCAGCTGGTGTTTCTTTCTCGTCTTTTTTCCTCGTGTACTGAGAGGTTTTTGTTCTTCTATCTCAGGTAAACAGCCTTCAAGGCTCCTCTGTGGAGTGGCTGTACCACATTCTGATGGCGTTCAACACTGGCGATTTGGCAAAGTACCAAGTACTCTGCGAGAGATGGGCAGACGCTCTGTCCGCGCAACCGTCCCTCGTGGAGAACAAGAAGAAGCTGTGGGAGAAGATCAACATACTGTGCCTGATGGAAATCATCTTCAGGTAAGAGCAAAGCTTCTCACAGTAAAAACAACCACATTTTCTTTCTCTCGCAGCCGCCCCTCCGACGAGAGGACCATCCCTCTGGCGCTCATCGCCGAGCGAACGACTCTACCGCTGGAAGAGGTGGAGCATCTCTTGATCAAGAGCCTATCGGTACTGTCTAGCATTAGTTTCTAGCATTAGAATCATGGCCGATGATCGCGGATTCATTCACTCTCTTTTCTCGCTCGCAGGTCCATCTCATCGAAGGCATCATCGATCAGGTGGATGGAACCGTCCGAATCTCGTGGGTCCAACCGAGAGTTCTGGGAATCCCGCAGATTGCAGCGTTGCGTGATCGACTCGACAATTGGTTGCTAAAGGTCCACTCGACGTTGTTAGCGGTGGAGTCTGAAATTCCAGACTTGGTCACAACTTAGCTTGCGCCAAAATCTTCTCTTCTCTTTTTTTGTGTTGTGCCGAGAACAATTCATTTGACAAAAGAGCGTCGTTTCTTATACGAATAAGGTATCCAATCGAACGGCTAGGATTGTTTCTCACGATACACGAAACGTTATATAAGATTCGTTAAGCTGATCATTGGAGGGGGGAGCGGGGGAATGGCGTCTTGGAGCTCCAGCTCTTTGAGCGCAATCTATCAAATTCTTGGATGGTTTGCGTTTGCAGTGTGGTCGATCAGCTTCTACCCGCAAGCGCTGCTCAATTACCGGCGAAAGAGGTACGCATTGATCGCTGCCGGAAGAAAACTATTCCAATTCTCGCTTCATCCCCTTTGCGCTTTTCTCAAGCTAGTTTTTGATTGCTTGCAGCGTCGTGGGATTGAACTTCGATTTCCAGGTGCTCAATTTCACCAAGCATTCCTCGTATCTCATCTACAACGCCGCCGTCTTCTTCAGCCCTGTCGTCCAAAGGCAGTACCACGACAAGTATGGTCGTGACGAGGTGCGTAATTGAGAGATGGACGAAGACCCCTGAATCCTTCTCCACGTTCCAGCTGATTCCAGTTGCTGCAAACGACGTTGCGTTCTCGATCCACGCCGTGCTCCTCGCAGGATTCACAATTGTGCAAATTTTCCTGTACGAGGTAACAAAGCAAGCTGAAGAGAAAGGTGACAAGCTTACTTTGGTGTCCCTTTTAGAGAGGAGGACAAAGGGTGTCCGAGGCTGGAGTTTTGGTGTCCCTGGGAGCTTGGCTAGCCGGATTGACCGGTCTCATCGTCGCATTTCCCAGCGGCCGCTGGCTATGGCTCGTCCAAGTTTTCAAGTAAGATCCAATTCTCTTAATCTGTTGGTTGCTTGAACACTCTTAATCTTGCGCAGCATCATACAAATGGTGATGGCAGTGATCAAGTACATCCCTCAGGTAATAAAGCTGTGATCACATCACCCAAAGTGTCGAGATCGTTTTCATGCGATCAACAGGCTTGGATGAACTTCAGGAGGAAGAGCACCGTTGGCTGGAGCATAGCAACCATTCCCCTCGATTTGTCGGGGGGAATCGCCAACATTCTCCAGATGGCAGTGCAATCCATCGACCAACGTAAGCCTTTCGAGTTGTGTGGCTTTAGAGATCTTGACTCTCCAATCGCACAGGCTCCACCATGAACTTCTCCGGGAACGTTGGCAAACTGGGAATCTCGCTGGTATGTTTCTACGTCACTGCAATTCTAGTCTTCCACGTTCCCTGTATACACGTTTCTAATCTTCCACGTTCATACTCTTCCACGTTCCCTGTATTCTACGTAGGAATGCATCGCTTTCGACATTCTCTTCATCTTTCAGCACTACTTCCTCTACTACAAAGCTGACAAGGTCGATGAGCTTGATGCCGCTTACTACTACGAAGTCCTGGAGAACGATCCAGAGCAGGCCAAGACCGGCCAAGTCAATGATCAGATAAAAAAACCGTGACACAGAACATTTGTATATATATGACCAGTCGGTTTTTACAAAAAGAGGGAGCAACGAAACCACGAGATTGGTGATAGTCGCTCACACATTTCGGTGCTCCTTTGCCACTTCCTCATCTGATAGAGGGTCGTAGCTCTGATCTTCCTGGAGCCGCTTCCGCTGGCTTGCCTTGCTGAAGAAGACGAGACACAGAATTAATCACTAAACTTCTCAGGAACCTGTCTTTCACGGCCAGTGACTGGAAGTGTATGGAGCTCTACACTTTTGATTCCTTCTTTTTCTTTTTCTGTTTCTTTTTGTGCTTTAGTTGTTGCAGTGGTTCATATGGTGGTTGGGATGCCTCAACTACTCTGGTCCCTTTTTAATGACCTTTCACCTGATTTCAGTTTGTACAGATATAATAATAATAATACATGAATCTAGAAAATATTTTTAATTAAGAGTGTGAAAGTTCTCCATCATAATTTTTAGTCTTCTTGATGATAGAGATAGAGCACTTAAAAGAACATCTTTTATTTATCATAGCCTTAGGTATGGTAAGCAGTTTATGATAGCAACTTTTGTCCCAAGAAGAAAAGTATATCTGGGGTGGGTGGCTTGGCAAAATATTATAGTAACCTCCAAAATATATTTTAAAAAAACACATATGTGCTTAAACTATTATATGTGTTACTCACAAAATAATATTTTAAACACAATATTTTTTTATGGATAAGTATGCATTGGTGTTTGTCATGTATGTAAGGCAAAGTCCAAGTGCAATTTTTATGCTATGTAAATCTTAACTTTACATTAGTTTTTTTTTCTACACATTAGTAAGGTTTAGACTAAAGGCTTGTAGACATAATATTTTTCAACAAGCAAGCTGGATTTTTTAGCACATTTTAAATATTGTGGACTAAGCTTGCCATTGTTGTGTGCTTAGGTAATTAACTATTACAATGCCCAAAAATTTAGCATGTGATTAAGAATGTGAAAAATCCATTTAAGAACAGACAGTACAAAACAGTGTTAAAACTATTTCAAGCTATACAATCTAAATGTTATATGCAAAATTCACGAAACTATGGGATTACTTTCAAGGAGTGCTTGAGTTCTTTCTACTAAAGAAGAAAGTAGGGACATGGATAGAGGTTTTGTGAAATTAGTGGCACTGAAGCAAAGCATGACTTTGCATTGTTAGACAGCTCAAAGTAACAAAATCGGTAATGAGGACTTAAAGCTTGCAACAGCATTAGCACTTGGCAATTGGGATGAAGAGTTCATGTAGAGATTTGCTACTATAGACTGAAGAGCAACCAAGTCATTTATAAAGTTGGAAGAATAGTCCCACTTCAATAGGTTTTCAACTTGATGTTGTCAAAAACTCTTATAGCTTGGACAACACTTGTAAATAGATATAGCATTAAAGAGATATTGCTTCTTTGTTTGAAAGCTTTCATAGCATACAAAATCTTAGCCTTCATCCCAATACATCAATGCTTGTAGCCATATAAAGCTTATGAAACAAGCAAAGTATGCAATAGAGACGAAGTATAAGATCTATGTTAGGCATGAGCACTACCATGGAGTGATTAATCTCTTGGAACAATTTAGATGAGGCAATGATGGTGTTAGAATCTATGCCTCTAGAGCCGAGCTGTGTAACTTGGACTACCATTTGAGTGCATATAAAAGGTGGAAAAATGTGAAGGGTTGGAAGATTGTTACAACACTTTGGTGGAGATTGATAAAAGTAATAAAGTTACATATATGTTTATAGCTAATTTATATGGAAATTAATATTTACATGCTTGACCAAGAAAGCACTAATTAGGCACTCCATTATAATGTGTGATGCTATGACAAAACAAAAAACTCCCATTCAATATGGTGCTTTTTATCCTATTGCTCCACATATTATTCATAAATTTCATCTTTATATAACATTGTAAAAGAAAAAGAAGAGTTGTGGAAGATTTTTCTTACATAATATAAATGAGCACTGCATACTTGCTTGTATAAAACTTGCATTACATATTTACCTATGTAAAACCTTCATTAAATTTGTGGTGATGTCATGTTATCTTGGATGATGTGGCATCAATTTTACATAGCAGTCTAAGGTGTTATGCCTATGTATACATGGCATAACCCATGACAAAAATATTATATACATAATCGTGTTTTAATTGTTCATACAGCAATTGAAAAGTGATTGTGTGCATAATAGTTTTCATGCAACTCAAAACAAAGAAATAAATCCACACACGTGTAAATATCTTTCACCATCTAAATAAATTAAGTACAGAGCTTATAGTCGTTTTAAATTTATTTTTCGTTTGAATTGTGGATATATATAGAGCTAAAAATTTCTTCTTACTGAATATGATTTACATCCAAATTAATAATACTAATATCTTGATGGGAAAATTATGGGTAGAGGGCAACTATTGAGGATGTATGGAAAAAGAAAAGAAGAGTTTTGCTAGAGATTTGGTTATACTATAAATCATGGATCACACTTTAACACATTTTTATAATGATAGGATGTTTAATGTCTAGATCTATATTTAATTTTCTCTATTGTAAAACTTTATATAAGCTTAAAAAGTAGGTTCAAAAACAAATTAGATGTGGAGACAAAGTTTGCAATTGTTTTAACCTTGTATTAACTTAGAAGTGGTTGCTACTAAGTTTGGAATTTGTTTTTGAGAAATTGTTGACTAAGTTATATATCAAATGATCAATTGAACAACAAGTTACAATCCCTTACTTTTGATCAAGTTTGAAGTATTATCTGCATGTGGTTAATAGCCATATAATTCTAAGAGCCTTTTCACACCAATATTTACCCTTAAATTCAGTTTTGACTGACACCATAAAAGGATAGTAAAAAATAATTAGATTTTCTTAGTCTTATGTGGTTTTATCCTAATAAGCTTCAATTATATAACGTGTATCTCTGTTGTTGGACTTGCCAGAACATTAACTTTTCCTAAAAAAATTAAATCTAGCCACATAAGAAAGTGTTGGATGGAGACAATTTCCTGGAGACAATTTCCTGGCATGGTGAGAACATGCTCAATTCTAGCTGATGTTATTAGTGGTCTTTGGCCGTTGACTAATGTCTGACTAGTAAAGGAAACTCATCACTTTTTAAAAGTAGACATGCCACTAAATTTATTTTGGAAGGGAATATAGGTATTGAAAAAAAATTGTGATTATAGATGGGACACCTTGATTAGGGTGATTGCCCTTCATATTATTAGACCTGGCTGCTCACTCTAATGGTTCCTGGATTGTTGTACATTGATGTCTCGAAATCTGCCATTATGCATGAGGGATGATTATTGAAACAGGCTGGGAACTTGGAGTCTATTCCTCTTTGAGAGATGATGCGGTCTTGCTGTGGAACGATCCTGGATGAATGTGAACCGAAGTTATGGGATCCCATGTGACAGAAGATGTCGATATCTTCATTTGGAATGATGAATTTTACAAGAGCTTGGAGAACCAGTTCAGAAATTCATCACTTGGATGTAAAGGAAGGCTCTAGACATTGTTCTTCTTATTAAATTGAAATTCAACACAGTCTTACACGCAATATGCTCTTACTTGTGGCTTCTTAGCAAGCAAGACACCCACACTCAACAACATTTTATGACAGAGCTGGTCCAGTATGAGAAATCACTAGTTTGTTGTGAAGGGTAGATTACCAGCATTGCTATGGTGACACAAGGATCAAAGTTGTGCCATTATTTTCTTTAGTGCCTAAGTTCGAAGTAGTTGTCATCTCAAGAGCGTGGTGGTGACAATATTAATGCAAGAAAGGTGAGTGGCATGACTTTAACTTGCGGTGCAGCACTTGTCAACAGGAAGGGACCCGGTTAAACAACAATGAAATGAGGCTAGAGGGCAAGACCTCTAGTAGTCCCCAAAGGGGCAATGCCAGCTGGATGACAATCACAACTCTAATGGAGCCACCAGTATGGCATGGATGACATGTTTAATGGACATCCTGAGTACACTACACACCTTGTGGTTGCTGTAAAGGAGCTCTTTGTGACACTCTAGCCCTTCTCTAGTGATGACATCATCCATTATTTCTTGGCACTAGATCAATTCATATTCAGCATCCAAATGGCAAAGATGTGATGATTTATGATGTCTGGCTAGACATTTCATTTCAATTGGCCAGATGGTAGAACACTAGTTTTTACTATTATTGAGTAGTGGATACTAGTCAACAAAGGTTGGCAGCCTTTTAGATTGGATTGCTGGATCTAAGATAAACCATATATGTACATTCCCCATGTTCTAATGGGACTAATATAAAAAATTGGGCATACTACCCTCTAGACGAGCTACTCTATGATCCTCTAGTGTCTCAATTGGACCTAGTTTTGGAGTAGAAGTGGATGTGGTTGTTTCCTTTGGATCGTGTTGATGTCTATGTCCCCCCTTTGAGTAGAGCGTAGAAGAGAGTCTGGGGGGTGCCATTGCCAATGGATTTTGCTATCTAACATTTTGCCAAGACATGGGAGCCACCGGCTCATCCACTCTTAGAGTCAACTCAATTTTGCCCGCTCTTTTAGGATGATGTAGTGAAGATGCATTATAGCAAGAGTGAGTCTCCACATGATGCCACCATTGCAAATATCCTCACTTGTTGTAGCGCACGTGGTTTTTACCCTTTATCCTATAGTGATTTACCATAGGATAACACCACGAAGCAGAACCTAAACCCTCCATGTGCCACATGATACATACCACATGTTATATACCATGTGTCCAAAGGACAGTGGTGCAGAACTTGAGGTTCAGGGCCTTGGGCCACTGAAAGAAGGAACGGTGCCAAACTCCCAAGCATGGAGCCAAGGAGTGACAGAACTAGACCATAGAGCAACTCCCGAGCATACAGCCTAAGGAGCAAAGGGACAGGAGCCCGGAGCGACTTGGAACAGTCTTGGAGCAACTAGCATCCCATTGTTAGGACCAACACACAAAACGGAGCCAAACAGAGTCTAGCGCTATTTTGGCATATCGGTGGCCTAATGCAAGGACATGAGTACTCCACCAACTAACATGAAATGGAACTTAGGATTAAACTTAAGCTGGATGCAGAATAAGGACAATGTAAGCAACCAAAGGGAATGACTTGAGAGATGATCTGCTGGGGTTTAAATATAAAGGGAAAGGGCCCATGAACAAGAGTGCACCCCCTTTTCCAATTAGTTAAGG